ATGGCATGCAGTACCGGGGATCAAACCCGGGTCCTTACTCATGCCAGGCAGATGCTTAGATCACTGAGCTATCTCCCTAGCCCAGTAATTGCCTTTTTAAAACATCAATACCAGCCCTCTGAAATTGTATTTTTTTCTTGACCACTTAAATTTGTTGGTTGGCTGTATAAAGATATTTTTAAAAGTCAGTTGCTTTTTGGGTAATTTGAATTACTTTTTTAATGACTGGGGTTTTCATTTGACTGTTTGCATTGAGATTGCAGTGTTAAAAAAACAAAGCAGAAAAAAGATTGCAATGTGCACAATTTTTTTTGTAGTTGTGGCCTCTTGTTGGCATCAAATATGACATAATAAATACCAGTTTCTGAAAAAAAAACCTTACAAAAATTACTTTTAAAAAGGGTACTAAGGCAAAGGAAAAATAAAATGATGCCCAAATCTCTTATGTGAGCACCTTCAAACCATCTTGGAAAGGAGGAAATAAAAACAAAATTCAGCACAGCACTTCTGTTAAGTACCTTCGGGTTCCTGCAGAAATACAGAAGTATGTGCCACAGAGAGACAACCTTCTACTAAGACAATAATTATCTTTGTGGGTGTGTGTGGAACCAGGTGTTGAACTCAGGCCCTTGCGCTTGCCAGGGAAGCACTTGTTCTACTGAGCCATCTCTCTGGCCCACAATAATTATCTTTCAATTAAAATGTATTTCATGATTTTACTACAATAATTAAAATCTTTCAAGAAACTATCTTCATTTCCGCCATTTTAAGATATTCAACAGCAGTAACTTTCCACTCAGTTTTGAGAAGGTTCTCTGAATCAAGCTGTAGTTGGGATGCTTTTGCTCTCTGTATCATTTAAGTGTTGGCATGAAGAACAGAATTCAGGTATGTTATTTCTTTTCCAGAAGGATAAGAAGTGGGGTTTTTTTTTTTTCCTCCTTTGCTGTTGTTTTTTGAGACAAGGTCTCACTCTTTTTTTTTTTTTAAATCTATTTAGTACAGGGTCTCACTACACAGATCGGACTTGAGGTGAACCTTCCTGTTTTTCAGCCTCCCAAGAGCTGGCATTCCAGGTGTGCACCACATGCGTAGTCTCGATTGCCTCTCAGTGTGTGTGTGTGTTTGTGTGTGTGTGTGTGTGTGTAGGGGGTGGCACAGCAGGCTGGGGATGGAATTGGGTCCCTGTGTCTGCCTAAGCAAGCATTTTAATTTGCTGAGCTATCTGGCAAGCCCTCTCACTTTGTAGTTTGCACTCCCTATGTAGCCCACATGGTAAACGAGGTAATTCGGCCTCAACCTCCTGAGTGCTGGGATTAAAGGTGTATGCCACCATGCCCAGCCAGAAGTGTTTTTGTATGTCAAAAGTCTATGGATTAGAAAGCCTAAAAACAACCTATGTCTTCTGCTGATTAATATCAAAGAAGATGAATTCTTGTAGCTAAGTACCTTGCTCTTTATTGTGGTTAGCCTAACCCTTTGTAAAAGGAACAGAGACAGTGAGTTAGGTCCATAAAACATATCCTTACTCCTGGAGAAACACCTGAAAAGGTCTGAAACACCCCTTTCAGGGTAAAAGCTGCCCTGTATCCAACATAACCAGTTAAGAGACAAGAGTGCTAATACTGAGTCCCTCTCCCACTCATTTTCATCTCTGTCCTGCTCTAGAAGACATCTTTTTCTGTTCCACCCCAAGATTATAACTTTTATTTTTTCTTAAAAAGTAAGTGTAGTCAGGTGTGGTGGTACACACCTGTACTCCTAGCACTTGGAAGGTGAGGCAAGAGGATCACTCTCAGTTCAAGGCCAGCCTATGCTACATAGTGTGACTGTCTTTTAAAAAAAGTGTAAAATAGCACATCATTTGTGCTATTCCAACTATTAAGGGGTTCTTCTAGTTCAATATGAGACCTAAACAAATAAGTATTAGAAGAGATGAATCCTGTTCTTGGACTCAGAATTTTTAAGTTTTATTGGTTCATTTTATATGGTTAACATTCATCATAGGGAATTTGTAGCTGTGCATAATATATTTTTATGCTGCTTTTTTTTTTTTTTTTTGTTCCTATTCCCCTCCCCTCCCTTCCCTTCAGCCCATCTTCTGGACTCAGAATTTTGAGTCTTGTTTTGCTATCTGTAGCTTTTGACTTTTAAATTAATTCCTTGGTAATCTAGTCTTTTGCATTAATTAGGAGGCAAGTACCCATGTTTCTCATTCTATGAGCACTGGTGGCAAGCTTAAGTGTATTTGTTTTTTGAGACAGGGTCTCACTATGTAGTTCAGGTTGGGCCTGAACTCACTATGTAGTACAGAACTTCTGTTCAGTATTGTTTCAGCTTCCAGAGTGCTGATATTATAGTGTTGGGATCACATGTGTGCACCACCACACCTGGCAAAGTATATGTACTTTGGAATTGAGACGAAAACTCAGTCTTCAGCAAAAGATTAAGATATATATATTTTTTATTTAGTGCACACAAAATCTAGTTCAAGTGCTTGGACTTCACAACCTCATTCTCCCAGCACAACCTCATTTATTGTAGGAAAGAATCATCACAATAATTGGACACTGATTTTTGAGGACAGTTTTCATATCTTGAATTTAACCTCTTCCTAGCAAGCAAACCTACTAGACAGAGATACCCGGCAGAGTACACACATAAAACGTGAACATTTTTCTCTCAGAATGACAAGATATCAAGGGAACCAAGAAGGACTGTTACTCCAAGTCACTAAGCAAAACAGTATTTAGAATTAGAGGACAACAAAAAATGGTCCAAGGGTGCAGGGAACTTCAGTATGACTTTTAAAATGTTCACCATTATGAATAGCATTTTAAGGAGATAATATCTGATTTGGTATTAAGAGGAAGATGCAGGGAACTTAATGTGTGTACAGTAAACTGACTTTAAGTGAAAGGATTTTGTATGTTAACATATCCACTACATAGAAAATAAAATTATCTTTAAGTCCATCTTGGTATTACTGTCCAGAAGGAAAGGTCTCCTCCCATATGTAAGATCACTAGATTTTTTGGCTTTAAAATGCCTGCCTCCTGGGTGAAAGTGGGAGACTAGGGAACCTGTGGCTTGGAAGGATGAGAATGAGATGGCTCCACTGAGAATCCGAGAGCTGAACGTGAGAGAGAAATCCTCCTCCAGCCTCGGAGGGGGTGTCTCCCCCAATACCAGTGCCCTCCCCCCGGGCCCGTGGGGCGGATCTGCTTCGCTCAGTAGCTGCAGTGGCCGCGGAAGAACCCCGGGGCTGAGCGGCGGTGGCGGCCTCCTGGCAGCGCCGAGAAGTTGCGGCTCAGAGCGCCCGAGGCCCTGGGGAGAACCCGCCGAGGCTGCGCTGCGATGGAAGAACGACGATTGGCGCCGAAGTCACCGGGGACGGACTTCATCCCCAGCTCAGCTCCTCCACGGCTTGGCGGGGCCTACTCAGAGTGCCAGCGAGGCGAAAGAGGCCTACGCCTGGGGCCTGGCCGCGGTAGCCGGCAAACGCGGCGCGCACAGCGGGGTAACGGACAAGCCCTAGCCGCTCTCGGGAACCTACGCCGACTCGGCCGCTCATTGTCTCTCCCTTTCCACCCGGGGGGCAAACAGGAAGCGCGCCGCCAGGCCAAGCGACGGACGAGCGCCCGGACCAATGAGCACAGCCGACGGAGAGCGCAGCGGCGAATGAGAGCGAAGAAGAGGGGCGGGCCTTCCGGGCAGGCTGTCACCCTCTTCCCCCCTTTTGGGCTGGAGGCTCCACCTTTTGTGTTTCCCGCACAGTCAATCAAAATAGGAAAAAAAATCCCCGGACCGCTCCGGCCGTGTCCGCCGCCGCTTCCCGCATCCTCTCTCGCCGCCGCCGCCTTCGCTCCTCACCATGTGTAAGGCGGCGGGGAGCCCCGCCTGAGGTGCCCTAAACACACTATGACCGGTACGTAAAGCCGAGAGAGAGCAACCCTTGCTGCCGCCGCTGACCACAGCCCGTCCGGGGCCGCCGCTGCGGGCCGCCGGCCCCGAGAGTGCGACCGAGTGTCTGAGAGAGAGGCAGAAAGCCGCATTCCCCTCCGCCTGCCCTCCCCGCCAGCCACCATGCAGCTTCCCAGCCCTAACCATGCCGTCTTCCCGCCGGGCCCCGGGGCGGGCGGCTCGGCCCGCCGGGAGCACGTCCCCCTGTGTGCGGGCGCGGGTGTGTGAGTGACTGACGGTGCGAGAGGAGCGAGCGCGAGTGCGAGCGAGCGGCGCGAAGGGAAAGGGGAGGAGAGGAGAGGGGGCAGGGGCAGCGCGGGGAGGAGGAGGAGGGAGGAGGAGG